ATCATGAACTTTTAAGTTTTGTTCTTGTTCCCTTCTATCCTTTCCTGTTTTTCCTTCTCCTCCTCAAGGTTCCCTCAAGTCTTCTCCTCTCCCTCCTCCTCCTCCTCCTCCTCCTCCTCCTCTTCCTCCTCCTCCTAATCTTCCCCTTCCATTGGATCTCCTGCTGAATAGTTTTCCCCTGCCTCTCCTCTGCCCACGCTCCTTTTCACTCCTCCAAAGCTTTCCTTTTCTGCTCTTCTTTCTTCTTTCCCTTGTCCTTCTTCACTAGCTTTCTCTTAGCTTCTCCAACCTTCTCTTTTCTTCATTCCACAGCCTACCTTTTTGTTCTCCTCTTTCTTCTTCCTTATATCACTCCCCTTCCCCTGCTCCCTCATCTTTCTCACCCCCCCCCCTCTCCTCCTTTGCCCTAGTGCCCCATCCAACTGCACTTTCTCTCCTTAGTTTTATTCAAAGCTCCTTCTGCTCATCATGTCAGCCCTGTCCATTAAATACCTCTTCACTTCTTCTCCTATTGATCATTTTTCCTCGTGCTCTTTCTCATCTTCCATTCTCATCTCGTTTTCACTCATCCTTTCTCCTGAACCCACATAAATTCTCCTCTTCATCCATCTTTCGTCTCTCCTTCTTTCCTCCATCTCCTCTTTGTTCCCCTTACTCTTTCCTCCTCTCCTTCTCCTCCCCCTCCTCTTCCTTCTATTTTTAGTTTTCCCTTCCTCCCGTCCTCTTCTCCTTCCATCCTCCCCTGCTCCTCTTCTTTTTCTCTGTGTCCTCTTCACCAATCCTCCTCCTCCTCCTCCTCCTCCTCCTCCCCCCTCTCTCATTCTCTCTCTCTCCCTTTCTCTCTCCCCCCCAACCTTCTCTCTCTCTGCCTCTCTCTCTCTCTCTGTGTGAGTGTGCGCACGCGTGTATGTGCATATTATGTCTTTGGCCCAGAACGAGATATTGATTCTTTCATTCAATCTATTTGCAAGCGTATTTCATATCATGTATGCATTTTTATACAGTAAAGAGATAAGGAAAGTTGATAGCACGGTTATCTTTTTAAAATTTTTTGCAACTACGAGACGAGAATTGAAAACGAAAGCTCTCAATATTATTGCCAGGTCTCCTTATCTGAGAAACTCATTATTGGTCAATGTTCCCTTTACTCAACTTTACTGTCTTATTTTGTTCCACACCAAAACTGTGCTTGTGTTTATATTTAGACAGATAGACAGACAGACAGAGATTTTAGATCAGTTCCTACAGTCAATTCTTTCTTTTGTTTCAGCCTCATAATCGTCTCTTTCAATGACATTTGCTGATGCTGACGCTAGCGTCTAATCAACGAGATGAGAGTGCTGTTTCGGCACTACCCCAGTTTCAACAGTTATTGAGCTCAGAAAATGCTTTTTGAACACCTTTCCAAAATACTTTGATGGCCTAACCTCAATTTCTCAAGATTACCACAGCCTACTGCAATGGCATCGACATTCTTCAGCACATCACACGACAGTTCGAACATTGATAGGCACTAATGGTGTAGGTACAGTGATGGAACATATCGTGAGAGTGATAATAGTGAAGAGGAAACTTTAGATGAGGATGAACTTGATCCTCACCCCATTGCCAAAAAGAAAAAAGAAAATTTAACCAATGAAGAAAGATAAAGAAGTAGGTGACAATGACGGATATGCGCTTTTTTATTCTGCCTTTGAGAACCCACCATCAAATAAAGTGCCAGCAAAATTTACAAGGAAGTGCAAAAGCTATGGAGGCTAAAACAATATTCACAAAACGTGTGACGGAGATGCCAAATCTCATCAGATGCTCAATTTTTATGGCATTTATGACTTTGAAAATGTAAAAGATGACTACACACATCGCATTAGCAAAAGTATGTTCAATGCCCTTCAGAGCTTCCAAAACAGCAACAACAAAGAGCTGAACAGAAAACTCATGAAGATTGAAAAACAGAGCAGTAACAAATGCCTCACAAAACCTGGACGTAACAGTTACTTGTGCTCATTAGTTTTAATTTTGTTTTTGTTCAGGAGCTGTTGGTTTCTTACCGAGCTTGAAACCTCTTTTGCACACAGACCCTGTAAGATTTTGAACATCTGTCAGTGAGGAACAGAGGCCACGAAACTGCCATGGTTTTGGGTGGCCTGGGGTGGAATGAACAAATCCGCTCTCGTGAGAATCACCGGATGCCTTGGTTTCGTGGACTACATCGCGCAAGTGCTGGAACGTCATGTCTTACCCTTATTTTCATCAAGGTGTTATTCAAGTAGTCATCCCCATGCGAAACACTGCATTTTCTCATCGGGCAAATGCCATTGCAGAATTCTTAAAAAACCAAATCAAGTCAACGTTCGAATAGTTAGCAGCAAACAGCCCCGATATGAATCCTACAGGTATGTGAAGTCCCATGAAACTGCGGCTGAAGAAAAACGACTTTGCCCCCAATTCAGACCCTTTGTATGCAACTCTCTGTGACATTTGAAATGAAATGACTGATAAATATGTCCAAAATTTAATAGAATTGATGCCCAAAGGTTTCGTGCACAACACAAAGCCAATGGTTCCTAAGAAAAATAACAATGAACACAATTAGTGTTGAGTCGAAGTTTTGTGTGGTATCTGTGATTGCTCTGTTTTCCGTTATGTTTGAAACTATCCTGACAAAATATCGTAATAAAATATTGTTTATTGCAAAGACACATTTCTCCATTCATTGGGCATTCAATATATCACCATTCGATCAATATTGATACTCTTCAATAAATGCGCAAGACAATTTTACGTTTCTTTGATTTCGCACAATTTTGCCAAGCCTTATTTTTTTAAGGTCAATTTTGAGAGGCAATATCTCGGGCGTCTCTTAAAATAGATTAAATAATGTGTCAGATGAAGAATTTATTTAGCTTTAAATTGGTATGCTGCATGAGTGGGTAATGCAAGGCTTTAACACAATGACTGGGTGATTACATTTTCAAGTTTCTTTTGGACGCCACTGTATAACGGTCTACGTTTACAGAAGTTTTGCACGTCCAAACGTTTAGGAGTTTTCTCTCAAATTGGGCTCTTTCAGGGGGGGCTGGGGTGGTGACACAAAAATCTATCATGCGAAAAGTTGTTAAGATATCGTCATGATTTTCGGTTTACTGATAGATGAAACATTATTGAATAGATGATTTTATTATAAATTTAAAGAAGTGAATATTTCTCAGAACGTTCGGAGAAAGAGTGCTGATCTTTATTTCTCTGAATGGTTTCCGGTCTTGTGATTTTTTGCCTATTTGTGAGAGTTCAGCGCCAACTTTCATTCTGCCATTCTGCGAGGCCTGGGCAGGAGCAAATTTTTGGGTCTAGATCTATTCCAATTTTCAAGAGCTAGTCTAGAGATTTTTAGATGAGTGTAAAAACGTGAAAAAGAAAGGTTTCACAACAGAATGAAATCAAAATTAGAACAGCCCATAAACAACCATCAAAATTAACAA